CCTGCATCCAGTGAGGGTGTGTCGGGGGTCCCGCACGGGGCTCCATGTGAAGACTCTGCGGAGGAGGCAGGGATGGAAAGCAAGACGGGGTGCTGTGATGCAGCTGCAGAAAACAAGGCCCTTACATGTGGTCAGATGAGTGTTCCAAGCAAATCGTTCAAGGGGACGCACCTTCTCAGACTGCGTTTCCTCACCTGTGAAGTGGGACTAGCAATAGGGAGGGTGAGGGTCCCCTGTGATGCTGGGTCGGTGCCCAGCCCCCAGGCAGCCCCATAACTAGGGGTGTGAGTTCTAAGGCATCACAGAGGCGGGTGCCTGGTGCTGGGAGAGTGAGGTTTCCACTGATACATCTAGAAAGGCTAGGAAGGAATCTAGTTGGATCGGGAATATAATCCACATTCTTTCTTTGGATTATTCTTCCCGTTGTGCAGCTGGAAAGAAATTTCCACAGGGACCACATGCCATGGGGCATGTCTCAACTGCAGCTGGTTTCCAAACCCCAAAAATCAGTCAAATTCCAGATTCAACGCCCGTTACACAGAACAGCTGTGGGCCAGCCAATGCTATGCTTACTTTTCCCCGCTCCTAGCCCAACATACAACCATCTAGCCTGCTTTAGTCTTAGGTGGCACTGCTATTTCTCACTCAACAAACATTAAACACCACGAATGTTGCCGGCACCAGCTTACTCGCTGGGAAGGTGACACCGTGAAGGGCAGCCCTAGCCGCCTGTTCATGGCCCTGACGCTGCCTGTGGCGGGTAGAGCGGCTCTCACCAGCCAGAGTGCTGAGTGCCCTGTGAGGATGTTAGCAGACACAGTGGGGGTGAAGTCGTAAATGAGGACAAGGTCCAAGGGCGAGAACCATCAAGGAACCGAAAGACATCCCTAAGGTTGGAACCGAAAGGGGAAGATGGGCCCAAAATGAGCTGGAGAGGCAAGTAGGGGACAGACAGTTGAGCCCAAGCTCCAGGGGTGAGGAGGGACTGGAGAGGAACAGCCGGAGGAGTGGAGTGACCGTTGCTAGGGTCCAGATGGACAAGGAGATGCATTTGGAGGTGGCAACCTTGAGAGTTTGCCCCAAGGACTGGATGAGAGTGGAGAGCGGCCAAAGCGTTTGGACAGGTTCAGGCCTGGGACTAGTGAGCGGGCACGATCCTCTCGTGACAAAGCCACGTGCAAGTCCCGGCGCACTTACAGCCAAAGGCTATGGCTGTACCTAGTGAGCTTGACCTTATGGTCCGAACCTGTGGTCCCACGTGGCTGAGTGATACGGGCGGGAGGTGCAGAAAGTAAACAAAGCTTGACCAGGTGCATGTAATTGAGTAGATTCGAAATCCGCGAGAACCTTGTAAACATCTTACCACGCCCTTACTTTGCCTCCTGGAAACTGCTATAAAATAATAAAATAAAGACTCTGCAGGCCGCGGCGCTCTCTCTCCATCAGAGAGGGTAGCATTCCACCCAGACACAGCTCTCTTCTCTGGTCTTTCTTAATCCTTCACCGCCCCCTCAGGCTCACCGAACCCGGCTGTGCTGGGCGGCACAGATGAGTGATGAGGAAATGTGATGGCCCCAGGCATTTCTATCAGGAAATGTGGCTGTGCCCTGGCCGGTTTGGGTCAGTGGATAGAGCGTCAGCCTGCGGACTGAAGGGTCCCGGGTTCAGTTCCGGTCAAGGGCACATGCCTCAGTTGCAAGTTCCTCCCCGGCCCTGGTCGGGGCACCTGCAGGAGGCAACCGATCGATGGGTTTCTTTCACACTTATATTTCTCTCTGTCTTTCCCCCTCTCTTCCACTCTCTCTAAAAATTAATGGGAAAATATCCTGGGGTGAGGATTTTAAAAAGAAAGAAAAAAAGAAAAGAAATGTGGCTGTAAAGATGTGGGGCTGGTGGCCAGAGGGTGGGTTTTGTTTTTATTTTTAAGGCCGGAAAGGTCTGGGCTATGGGAAGGAGGAGATAGCAGGGGAGAGGGTTGGTAGGTGGCAGGATGATGTCCTCAGAAGGTAGGAGGCGCTGGGGTTCAATGTAGAGGGGAGGGGTTGACCTTTGGGGGGAGGACCCAAGAGCACTGGTAAGAATGCAAGTGGGGCTCCGGCACGGCCTTAAGGGTGGGTTTTCAGACTGAGAGTGAAGTGGGGGGGAGAGGTTACCTGGGTGAGTAGAGGTGGGGTGGAGTGAGGAGGGTGGACTTCAATGGCCGGAGAGGGAGGCACGCCCACCAGGAAAGGCGGGCGCCCCTGCGTCCTTGCTGTGAGCGCCCAGTAAAGGCTGGAGACGACAGTTTGGTAATGATGCCAGTCTGGGCAACCCTGAGGGTCTCTCCCCCGAATGCAGCCCTGCCTCCCACCACCCCACTCCTGTGCTGAAGTCCTCAACCAGAAATGACCCCAGATGACAGAGTGACAGGTGCCTCATGACCAGATGCAGTTTCCTGGGATGAGCTTCCTACAGTCCTCAGTGGAGACCTGGGACAGAGGCCTTGCCGTGGCCTCTGGGGTGATGGTGGCTCCTCATTTCGGAGGCAGCCAGGCTCCGGCTCAACCTGGAGGAAGTTCCTGGGGTCAGGCTGGAGAGGGGCAGACAGGGAGTTTATTTTTAAACCCAAGTGGGCACTACAGCTGCCAGGGAGAAGCAGACGGTTCTTGAGGAGAATAGAGATTGGCAGCCGGTCAGACACTTGTCAGGAAGCCTGTAGGCTGCCAAGTGGGCAGGGGTTCAGGTGGCAGAAGGCCAGGGCTGTGCACGAGGGGTCGGAGTGGGGGGTGGGGCAGTTAGGACTTCAGAGCCCAACCGAAGCGTTGCCTCAGAAGGCAGTGGGGCCCCCGAGGGAGCCCAGCGGCCAGGGCTGCCCGAGACAGCACAGGGCCAGAGTGTGCTGGACGCTGCCGTCCTCATCCCTTCACCCGGGCTCGGTCTCCATTCATGGTCAGATGGCCCTGTGAAGAGCTCTGTGGAAGAGCAAAGGGCAGTCAGGCGTGAGGGGTGTCAGGTCGGCATGCTGAGGGGGGCTGAGGGGCACCGTGTCCCCTTATAAATAGCCGGGCTGGAATGCGGCCTGTGACAGGGTGGAAGGCTCTCGCCAGCGCTCTGCGTGGAGGAGATTCTCCACGGCCTCCTGGGCCCACCCACCTCCTGAGGCAGGGAGACCTGTCTCTCCCAAAGGTCCAGGGACGGGCCCTCCTGAGCGCTTTGCCCTTTGCTAGGGCTGCCAGGGCACGTTTCTGGAGCGTCACCAAGGATGATCTCCAGGCCGTCATCTCTTAGGACTCTTAAAGGACACGATAGCAACAGCTTGAGCCATGACGCTAACCAACCTGCTGTCCTGCCTTCGCTTTCAGCCCCAGAAGGCCTACCGGGCCCCGGTGAACACTAGAGGGGTTCTGGGTGTGGTGGGCGGTCCTCCGGGACCTGTGTGAGGTGTATGCAGGTCTGACTCTCTTAAATGTACCTGTGGTTTCTCAAGAAATGAGACTGAATCTCCACCTTCAAAGACCAAACGTTGAAGCTGTCACTGACTCGCCCACCAAGTCCTTTAGGCGGGAGGAGGCTTCCTCTCTCCTGTTTTCCTTTGGAAACGGTTAATGGAAATCTTTCATCTACAGCAAGTTCCTAAGGGAGGGGGGAGGGGGGCAGAGCCTCATTCAGGGCCGGGCACATCTACGTCTCTTACTAAGTCAAGTTACAATCCCCCCCTCCTGCCCAAGTCACCCTGGCTCCCCGCTTGCCTTCTAGAAAGTACACACAGATCCCCTCTGCCTTTAATGAGGTCTTGTCCGTGGCAGCTGATCCAAATCTTTCTCGCTATGTCCTCTCTTCTGTCCTGCCTTATTTCAGTTTCCTGGGCTTAGCTATTGCTACTGAATAGCATCAGTTATTGTAGACTCTAGACTTAGAACCTATCGCTATCCAACATGGTAGCCACCGGCTGCATGTGGCTATCGAGCACTTGACATGGGGTCCTGGCCCTGGGGCGTGGGGCTGTGACCGGGGAGCTTCCAGCTGCTCATTCTCCCCAGGCCTTGCCGGCTGCCACTATTTCTCGCTCCCAGTATCTCCTCCCTGTCCCCACCTCTCACTTATCTTTCCCCTGAACCAGCGGGACTCCCAGAGCCACAGTCCCCCAGGCCCAATGTGGTCTGGAGGGAAAGAGGAGAATAATACCCTCCTGGCTCAAACTGGGTCCCCAGTGGGGAGGAGCGCTCGCCTTGCCCAGTTCCTTCCGGCCCCGGGTGCAGCAGGAGGCAGCAGAGATGGGAGAACAAGTTCGCTGTGGGCCCAAGAGCACTGTGCCCTGAGTGGGCAGTCTCAGCCCCCTTTCTGGGGTCTGAGAGGTGCGGACGGGCCTCTCCGGTCTCCCACCTTTTAGAAAGATGCTTTCCAATTCACTTCCCGGCAGCTCTGCTTTGAAACCTGCGGGCCGTTATCTTAGGAGCGAGAGGAAGCGGAAGGGCCAGACCCTCCACCCAGTCTGTGTCTATTTCCTGGCTGTGGATGGAAAAGTATGTCCTGCCTCCTGGCCTCCCAGCGCCCAGTCCGAGGTGCTAACTTCCTGCTTCCAGTGCCCACCCCCCACCCCCTCCACCATCACATATCATCACCCTCCCTCCGGCGCCAGGAAGGACAGGGAAGGGTCCCCTGGTCACAGTGCGGTCGCTGACGCAAAGGAGAGACGCAGGTTGGTGTGAGCCCCCAGAGAGGATCTTTAATTGATGTTTCTGTCCCTGCCTCCCCACCCCGAACCCCAGGTGACATATTTACAAGATGCTATATGCAGCCTCTAATCGTCCCTGGGCGCTGCCAGGGTCCGGGCAGGAGGATGCAGACAGCTGGGAGCCACGAGGACTGGTCACAGGAAGTCTTAAGTTCTCCACCCCCTCCACCCCCCTCCCACCCCCCATACGCACACAGTCATGTCCGTGTGTGCAGAGGTATTCACACTTGTGCGGAGACGCGGCTCCAAACGCTTGTGCCGGATGCATCGGCCACCTGTGCGCACGTGTGCACCACTAGAGGGCGCCTTAAGGTATCGCAGCAAAAGTGCAAAACCCAACCCTCGCCCTCCTGCCCCAGCTTGGGGGTGCTGGTGTAGCAGGACTGGCTAGAGGGGTACCCCACACATCCTCCTTGCTTGGGCAGTGCCAGCTGAAGCTCAATATCGAGGACCCCACTGTCGCCGCATCAGCCACCCAAAGGGTGTCCTTGGGTCTCAGTTTCCAGTTTGCCCTGAGGGGGGTGCAGATAAGCAGGGAGCCATCTCCATGATTCCCCTTCAAAGATGCCCCAGAAGCAGAGGGACTGAAACAGGCAGCTCAAAGGCCCGGGGTGTTCAGGAATCCCTGCGGAGTCAGGGTGGGTACCCCTGGGGGGAGGGGCTCCATTCATTTGTGGCTTTCATCCATAGGTAGTTTGACCCCCATCTTGCCCCTGCCAGCCGGTCTTCAACAGTCAAGGAGCCAGAGCTCCTCTGTCCCAAGCGAGGGTCACGAGGGAAGGCCATGGGCAGGACTTGGTTTGGAGGAGGACTGAGGAACTCTGCCTGGCCTCCACCTGCCTGTCACTGCAGTGGGCGGGGCGTCAGAGGACATCACGGGGGAAACAACTGTAAACTTACTACTCGGCCCTGGAATTGGGTAAGGAGTGGGGTGGGTTTGACAGGGCCTTGAGGAATTTTCTAGAAGCTGAGGTTCATACATGAGACCTGCCTTGTCCTACCTCCTATGCGCATCACAGGCAGAGCCCCTGGCCCTCCAGGCACTGGGCCACCTCTGGCCTTCCCTACTTGGGAGAGTCCTCCCAGGAAAAGACGGCCCATCCTGGGACCTCTGCGCCACACCAGGGGGCACCTAAACCCTGAGTCAGCCCCACAGTCACCCTTCTGGAAAGGGGGAAGGTGCCATTTTATTTCAGGGACTATTTTGTAGACCCTCGAATGCATGCATCCTGGCAAGGACAGCAGGATGGTCATTTTAGAATTAAAGACAATCTGGGACATGTGGTCGCCGTACCCATAACCTAGGCGTGGGCACGGAACAGGCAGCTTTGGTTTGAATCAGCACTCAAACTTCTCTCCAAGCTCAGCAGGGCCGAGAGGAGGGAGCAGCAAGGATGCCGGCCCCTACCTGGCTTGGGGACGTCCGTGTTCAGTGAGAAGACCCCGGGTGTGGTCATCCCAGGGGATGGCCATGCCTCAGTTCCTCCAGTCCCCCCCCCGCCCCCCCCAGGTTTCAAAACATCCCACAGCTGCCCTGGCCCCAGCACCCCCAGAGTTACATTCATCAGTTAAGATTCAGTTTTGTTTTGTTTTTTTAAAGTAGATGTCAGCCCCCTCTCCCCAAGTCCCAGAAAGCTAAAACCCTGTCCCAGCTGCCTGGCTTTGAGGAAGGGCCATCCCAGGCCATGCCCCTTGGGGCATCCCTCTAGCCCTCCCTCCCCACCTGAGCTGTGGCAATCTGATGATGGAAGCTACATTCACACAGGGAGAGTTGGTGTGCAAGGCCAAAGCCACATGAGGTGGGGGGGGGGACCACGAGGGCAATGGCCCTGGCATGGTCCACCCTGATGGTGTGAAGGGCAGGGCCACAGCCCCCCACCCACACCCCTGTGGGGCCAGGAATTGGAAGGCTTGGGCCCGGAAGACATCGCATGGTGCCTCCCTCCATGGCTGGGAGGAGGCAGCCTCCTAGTTCATGGCTGAGATGTGGGCGCCAGGTTCGGAGGGAGGGTGGCACTTAGGCACCTCCGGACCTGGAAGGCAGACGGGGCATGGGGGCATCATATGAGGGGGAGCCCAGAGACAGACTCCTCTCCTCACCCCAAGCCGGGGCCCTGGGGCAGCAAGTCAAAGGCTGGCCAGGGAGGGGAGCTGGCGGGAGGTCAGGCAGGGGTGACATGAAAGACAAAACAGATGGGATGCAGAGGGAGGCTCCCTTCCAGGGGGTGGGGGCTTAGGAGAGCGGGGGTGGGGGTGGGGGCACAGCTCCAGCGTCTCCCTGGCCAAGAGTGGTGTGGCCATAGGAAGGGCAGGAGCAAATGGACCTGAGGGGATGTTTGGGCAAGAGGAAGTGGCAAGGGCAGGCTAAGGACGTTCCTCTCCCACCCCTGCAGGGACAGCAGTGATGGTGGGGGTGGGGGAATCAGCCCTGAGCTCCCATCAACAGAATGCGAGGTGACAAATGAGATGGAGACAGGGACAGCGGAGGGATGACGTGGCCAGCATCACACTGCCCCCTGCTGGGTCGGGTCATACCTTCCTCGTCGGATGTTTCTTCAGGAGACAAGCAAAGGACAGGCAGAGAGAGGAAGGAAAAGAGGCCATTTGCGACCTCCTCCTCTCAGGGAGGGGCCTTCAGTTCTCATGAGACGCCCTGCCCCTGAGACGGGCCAGGGCCCTGGGGCCTGGACACTAAGGACAGGCCCAGGGAGCGATACTGGGTTTGAGTCTTGATTCTGCAACTAACTCACTGGGTGACCCTGGGCCCCAGCCCCCTCCTTAGCTAACACTGAGGGTGTCAGACCAGCTCCAGGGCCCCGACTCAGGTGTCCACCGTCGGCTGGGTGGGGCCTAGAGCGGGAGGACACGGCCCGTCTTGGGCAGCGCCGCTCAGGAACTCTGTGGCTGGATCACACTGAGGCTCAGTGCGGCCCAATTGTCTCATTTTTCAAGGGAAGCTGGAAATCACATTGTTAATGTCAAATCTCTGGGTTTTTTAAATGTGAGCAACTAATGTGTGACCGTGACGTGTGAGCTCTGACTTAGCTAATCGCTCAGAGAGGCCCCCTCCGCTCCAACAGCCTGGGGTTCTGATAACCCCCAGGACACGAGGGGATGTAGGGGGAGGCGTCTCTTACTTAAATCCCCAGCCTGTGCCGCCCAGGACGATGGCTGCAACGAGCACAGCCCCGGCAATGGAGCCAATGATGATGTTGGTGCCGCTGGGACCTGAGGAGGAGGGCGGGGCTCGGTTGGCAGGGACAGGCATGGCAAACAGAGAAGACAGAGCCCCCCCTCGGCCAGTGCCAGCCTCACCCTTATATCTCTCCGTCTCCCCCGTGGGCGGAGATGTCGGCAGGGGGTTGTGAATACTGCAGTCTTTGCCCGTCCAATCTGGCTGGCAGATGCACTTCCCTTCGTTGCTGCAGACCTGGGGGGGGGGGGGGGGTAGGGCCAGTCACGGTAAGCAGGGCCCTGTGCCCTCTGGTAAGGTTCTCCTGCCATCCCAGGCCCCCAGGCACCCACCCCGTGGTGGGAGCAGATGCGGCGATCCCCACTGCCCGGGCAGGTGCTGAAGTTGAAAGCAGAGGCTGGCAGGCAGCGATGATCCAGGCACAGCATGTTGGGCCCACAGGCTGTGCCGTCCTCCACGTAGCTCAGGTCTGAGCCATCGGCCAGCTGCACATGGCCACCCCTGGGGAAACAGCATAGCCAGCCTCCGCACATGCCCCCACCCCATCACAGCTGCAGCCTCCCTTCCCCAGCCAGGGTCCCAGCCAGCACCTGCAGTCCAGCTCCTTGCCCTGGTGGTAGAAGGTGACACTGCTGATGTCTCCTCCTAGGTCCCCCAGCCGAGGAGCTCCGGAGATATTGACGCAGAGGAGGAAGCCACAGAGCACGTCCCTGGTGGGTGGTGCGGAGACAGTGAGTCCCGTCTGACCTCTGATCCAACTTGAATTTGCCTTCTCCCCACACGCTGATTTTTTACATAGTCTCCCATCGGGACTCACAGGCACATCTTAGAACAGTGATGGCGAACCTTTTGAGCTCGGCGTGTCAGCATTTGGAAAAACCCTAACTTAACTCTGGTGCCATGTCACATACAGAAATTTTTTAAAAAATATATTTTTATTGATTTTTTTACAGAGAGGAAGGGAGAGGGATAGAGAGTTAGAAACATCGATGAGAGAGAAACATCGACCAGCTGCCTCCTGCACACCTCCCACTGGGGATGTGCCTGCAACCAAGGTATATGCCCTTGACCGGAATTGAACCTGGGACCCTTCAGTCCGCAGGCCGACGCTCTATCCACCGAGCCAAACCGGTTTTGGCAGAAATTTTTTGGTATTTGCAACCATAGTAAAACAAAGACTTATATTTTTGATATTTAGTTTATATATTTAAATGCCATTTAACAAAGAAAAATCAACCAAAAAAATGAGTTCGCGGGTCACCTCTGACACGCGTGTCATAGGTTCGCCATCACTGTCCTAGAAGAACCTACTGTTCCATCTCTGAAAACAAACAAGCAAGCAAACGAAAAAACAAAACCAAACCAAACAACCCCCGGCCCCAGAGCTGGGGAGACTCCACCGGGAGCCTGGCAACTCACTGCTTATTGCACTGGGCCCAGCCGGACCCCTTGCGCCCACAGTTGCCACGCTCTGTCCCCTCCACGTTCAGCTTCTCATAGCAGAAGCGATCAGCAGCCACTGTAAGAAGGTGATGCCAGGTGTCACCCCAGTCACAGAACCCACCCAGCACCTCAGGTCTGCACCTCCAACACTATGGGTGACCCCCGGTCCGACGGGGACCCTGAGAGCCTGGGGAGCCACACCTTTGGTGGAGGGCGTATTTAGCCAGAACCTGCCCCTCTTCAGACTCTTGATTCTGGGTCCTCCAGAGTCCCCTCTCCCACTCCTAGCCAGACCCACCGTGGCCCCACAGGGCTTGGCACTGCCGGTCCCGGGTTTTGCAGCGACCTCCGTAGCAGCGGCCCTAAGGGATTACAGGAGACAAAAGGGACTGACATGCTGCCTGGTCAGAGCGGAGACAACAAATTGTACTGAGCCCCCCACCATCATACCTGTTCATGATCACAGTAGTAACCGTCCAGTTTGTGTAGGTTGGGGGGACACTGCAGAGAGAGGGGCTGGACTGAGCAGAGCACCCCAGGACTGAGAGGCGAGGCTGGCCCCAGGGAGGAAGGAAGGGGTGGCCTAATGCCCCCCAAGTGGGGCTCATGTTCAGGGTTCTTCCATGTCAAGAACAAGGAAAGGTCTGGATTGGAACTCATATGCACAGATGGCAAGTCCTGTAGCCTCTCCGGTTTCCGTGTCCAGCACCCACTCCCCAGGGCTGGGAGAACTAAATGCCTGGCACGTAAGGAAGACTTAAGAGATGTTAACTAATATTACCACCCACTCCGATCCCTAGCGCACACCAGCACCGCTGCAGGCGCTGGGAACGCCAGTCAGACTACAAATACTGGTTTATAATGGGAAGATTACAGCCAGGAGGCACGAGCAACCCGTTTCTCAGATGAGGAAACTGAGGCTAATCAGCGGCGGCGACGCCAGCAAATGGACAGAGGGGTGCGGAGAACAGTCGTCGCCCCGACACAAAACGACAGGATGAGAGGCTGCCTCCCCCCGGGGTTCTGCAGGGCCGGGCGGACCTGACTAGAGTCGCCAGTGCAGGTCTCCGCGATGTCGCACTCATTCACGGCCTCTCGGCAGGACACACCCCGCGGCTCGTACTAAGGAAAGAAAAGATGTGTTTCAGGGCTCAGGCAGGGATGGCCCCCTTCCCCAGGATCCTGCCCCCCCAGATCTGTACACCGCCGCCCCCCCCCCCGCCCCCCACGGCTCTTCTCGCTCCGCCCCACTCAGAGCCGCTCCCAGGCCCGATCTCGGCTCCGCCCCGCCCACTCCTCGCAGCCCCGCCTTTAACAGACCGCACGCCCCGCCCTTCTCCGTCCCCATTGGCGCTTTCTTCGCGCCAAGCCCCGCCCATTCAGTTTGCCCGCCTCCAGCTTATCCGATGGTCAGCAGCGGGGTCCCTCCTGGTCCCGCCCCCTTCCCCCTCACCTTGCAGCGGCGACAGCAGAGCCCGTCGCTGCACATGGCGTCGTGAGTCAGGGTGCACTTCTTGCAACAGTTCCCGCCCGCTCGGCTGCACTCCTGAGGGACGCGGGGAGAAGGGCAGGGAGCCCGGCGAGCCCGGACGCTCCCCACCTAGGTCCTCCCTGGCGCCCAGCCCCGAGTTCCCCGGCTGCCACCGGGCACAGGCCGCTCACCTGCACAGAACCGCAATCGCACTCCTCCCCTGCCTCCACGAAGCCGTTTCCGCACTCAGGGGGGTCCAGCAGCTGGACGGGACGGTGTGTCAGGAGTCGGACTGGGACCCGCCCCGAGCCTCGCTCCCACGTTCCCCGCCCGTGGGCTGGTACCTTGAGGGGCTTGTTGAAGAGGCAGCTCCCGCCGCCCTCCTGCAGAAACTGGTTGTACTCATCGATGCTGCAGCGCGAGAACTTGCGGGGCAGGTAGAACCTGGGCGGGCATGGGGGGCCGATGCCATGGTTCCCGGCCCGCGCCTTCCCTTCCAGCTCAGCCCCTTCTCAAGATTGGGGATGGGCTGCACCTGGGACTCGGTCACCCCCTCGCGGAGGCTGAGGATCTCTGTGCACGGAGACTGCACAGAAATCCTCCCTCCGGCCGGTCCCCTGCCTGCAAGGCCTCCGAGAGTCAGAAATTGCAGCGCCAGGAGGGAACAAGGCTTTGGCGCCGCCCCGTGGCGACAGTGGGCACTACAGCCTGGTTAGTTTTGGTGTCTCGCAGGGAATCTGGATCCCCCTGTGCAGAAAACTGGGTTTCTTGGACTCCTGAGTGGTCCCGACAGCTGGACCTCTTGAGCCCACCAAGTCCAGACTGTCACCCAGTGCTCTTCTGGGATTCTCCTCGTCCAAAGCCTTCCCCTGATTTGTTCCCCCAAACTCACCCAGTGTCCTCCATGATGCAGCCCAGCCAGTTGTCTGGACACTTGCAGTCCCCTAAGAGGTGAGCCAGGTGTATGTAAAGAAAGGCGGATAACCGCTCCCCCCCCCCAGCCCCCACGGACACCCTTTTCACTTCTGGAATTGCTGGGTGGGGGTCTGGGCTGGTTATGGGGCCATATGGGGTCTTCCTTGATACCTGCTGAGCTCCGGTGTTTATTCCACATCATGCCCAGGTTTTGCCCCAGCGTCTGGGCCAGGGTCACTGCCATGGCCCCCATATTGTCGTACTTGGGGTGAGATATATGGAGCACAAAGATGTTAACATCCCTCCAAAAGGCACAGGACTCATGCCCTCAGCCCTCCCACCCCTACCCCAGCTGTGCCCCCACACTGCTCACCTCATTCACACCCCCACCCCTGGACAGAGAGCAGATGCCTCCCACGTAGGCAGCCCCACTACTGGTGCTCTGGAAAGTCCTGCCCCTGCAAGGGAGAGGGTTGTCAGGAAAACCTCCTGCCCTTCCCAGAGTGGCTCCCATGGGCTGTGAGGGGCAGACAGGGAGCCTCCCCAACCAGAGACCCTCCTGGGGGAGGTCAGTATTGCCCTTCACACCAGCCTGTGTGGTCTCAGGCAGACCCTTTCCCCTCTTTGGGTTGTTTGCCCATCAGCCAAATGAGAGGGTCTCATTAGATCATCTGTAATTGCAAGGACCTTGCATCAGATTCCCGCCCCCCCCCCCCGCCCCCAGGAAGGGATGCTGGGACAGTTTGAATGGGAGGAGATGGGCAGAAGTGACCAGGGATAGGGAAAGGGGGCATCAAGTTAAGATGCAGGGGAGGATGCCCAGCCTGCTGCAAGGGGCTGGGGGCAGGTACAAGATAAGACCGACTAGTCCCAGACCCCGCATGATCTCCTGGCACAGAGCAGGTGTCAGTAGCGCCAAGCACCGCAGACACCAGCAGAGGCTGGCAGGATGCATGGGGTGGGGGACTCACGAGAAGAGGTGGGTGGCATCGCTGGGCTCAGGCAGGCCCTCCCGCCGATAGACCATGAGACGGGCCAGGGTCTCCAGGAGGTCATCCTGCACCTGGATCTTGTCCCCGTCTGCCCACGTTTCCATGGCAACCAGCACTATCCGGGTATTGAGCTGTTCCTTGTACATCTGGGCCCAGATGGGAGAAGATGGGGGGAAAGCTGGAGGGTGGGGGTGGGTGTGGGGGGAATAAGGCTGGAGGAGGGCTTCAGTCTGTGCTTCCAGGAAGTGGGGTTCAGTGGCTGGTAGTGCCCTCGATGGCTCACCCCAAGGATCTATGTGGCTGGTGGGGGGTTTGGGGTGAGAGGGAGGGGAAGGCGGGCTGCTCACCACATCGGCCAGGTTCACCACGGACTTGGCAAAGTTGCTGGTGAGGACCACGGACTGTCGCATCTGCTCAAACTGGAGGAAGAGCGGTGGAGGGCCAGGCTGCTTCTGGCCTCCCCCCCCCACCCCCCCCGGAGTCGCCCGCAGCCTGGGAACTTACCAGCTGGTGGTCGTTGATCACGATCAGCTCCACATACTTGGTCTCACTGTGCACTGTAGGGTGGCCCCGGCGGACCTGGGGGGTGGGTGGGCACTTGGAATCAGTCCCCTCCACGCCTGGCGTCATGGCCAAGCCATGGACAGACTTAGGGGCCTGGACTCCATCCAGGGACAATGCCAGCCCCCACTGGCAGGGGTACCATTCCACCCCAGCCTTGATAGGAGGGCAGGCAACCCCTGTTAGCCCACCGTGGGGACACAGGGAATGAGGTGGGGGGCTCCCTCCCAGAGATGGCGCCCTGGCCCCAGCCACATCAGTCTGAGCTCTTTGCCCCAGCCGCGGCTGGGGGTGTCCTCCTGCTCTGGACCACAGCCTGAGGTCTCTGCAGCCCGAGGTCTGTGCGGGCCCCGTACCTGCCTTTTCCTTCTCAGCCTCGGCCGGTCCGGAGGAGCAGAATGGGCAGGGGCGGCGAACAGGCAGTCTGGGGGATGGGAGAGGTGAGGGGGGGCACAGCCGGCCCCCTCCCCAGCCCCACTTTTCCTCCTTTACCTGGTTCCCTGCATCCAATGGGGGCTGGGAGGAGCGGGGTCCGGTAAATGAGGTGGGGATGTGGTCCCTGTAACGAGGGGAAATTAGTTCTTGGGAGGCTGACTAGGTCTGCTCTGAGCCCAGCTGGAGGGGGGACAGCTCCACCCTCCCCGCCCCCGCCCCAAGAGTGACCCAGAACTGGCCAGAGCTCCCATGTCGGATCTGATCTCCCAGATGCTCAGATTCCAGGGTCAAGACCTGGGGGCGCCCTGAGAGATAGGGGCAAAGGACACTAGAGCCCAGTGGAAGGTTCCTTGGGGGACAGCGAGGACACTGGAGCTGGGGGCAGGGGAGGGAATCAGAGCCGGGGTCACCGAGGGCAGTGAGGCTGAGGTTACCAAGGGGGGAGGAGGGGACAGTGACAGCCATGAGGATGAGCATGGCAGGGCTGTCAGAGGGAACAGCGAAGGCTCACCCGGGGGGCTTCCCGAGGCCCGGCCATCTCTCTGGGCTCCACGATGTAGGTGAAGTTCCCGTCCGAGAAGACCCCACTGCAGAGAGAGAGGCGCCACAGCTCCCCACCACCCCAGGCCGGGGCTGGAGGCTTTTCCCGGCCGCCCAGCCCCTCCCCATACTCACTGCAGCCCTTGGCAGGTGGAGAGAGCAGCAAAGGAGTGGGGGTTCCCTCGCAGCCGCCCCTGGTAATAGCAGTGGTCTCCGGCCCCCTGGAGGAGCAGCAGAACGTTAGCGGACATGCCCCTGCCCTGGCATGAAGGCGGGAGGACAGGTGCGGGCCCCTGGAGGAGCCGCGTGTGCAGGTGGCTGCAGGCCTGGGGACACTGGGTTTGACGACTGTGCTCTACTCCTTTTTTTTTTTTTAAATATATTTTATTGATTTTTTACAGAGAGGAAGGGAGAGAGATAGAGTTAGAAACATCGATGAGAGAGAAACATTGATCAGCTGCCTCCTGCACATCTCCCACTGGGGATATGCCCGCAACCCAGGTACATGCCCTTGACCGGAATCGAACCTGGAACCTTTCAGTCCGCAGGCTGACGATCTATCCACTGAGCCAAACCGGTTTTGGCCGGGCCCTGCTCCTAATTGGCTGTTTCACCCGGGCAATTCCCTAGCCCTCTTTGGGCCTCCGTCACCTCACCTACAAAATGAGGAAGCTGGACTACATCTGTGGTTCTTAACCATTTGTTAGGGCTGATGCAGGGACCCCAGGCTCCTTGGAGAAGGATAGCATTCATATAGGACCTACTATGTGCCACACAATTTCACACAGAGTGTTCACAGATGCCATGCCTCCGTGGACCACCCCTGGACACCTGGTCTGTGTCTGAGGAACTGTGAGCAGCATGTGTCCTCCTGGCCCAGCTCGTGGGTCAGAGGGACCAGCAGCCCCTCCCCTGCTTCCTGCAGAATTACTTGTGCTCCAGTTACTGAACAGGCTGGGGGGTGGGGGGGGGGAGGCTATTTATAGATACTCATTCATCTTGGCTGGGTCCCGGGGCCTCCAGGGCTGGCACCCTCGTATCCCAGGCAGCCAGGGATTCCCAGGGCCTTGGTGCTGAGCGAAAGGACAGCTCCCCAACAGCCCCCTCCCAGAATGCCCGGGCAGGGAGCAGTGAGGGTGCTTGAAGGCCTCCATGCTGGGCAGAGAGCTGGCTGGGCTCAGGCCTCTGGAGCTGGGCAAGAGGAGCACAGGGCTCCACACCCCCTTTGACATGCCACCCCGACTGCGACCCTCCAAACCTCAACCTGGAGAGAAACGGAAGGTCCGGAGGGGCCAGGCCCATCCCAAGCGTAAAGGACACCCCTGACCCCATCTCCGTGGTCTCCTGTCCTTCCCAGAGTCACTCACCGTGCTACGCTGGGTTGTCCCCTCGCGGCTGAAATGGCGCTCCACGTATTTGGAGGAGAGGAGGTGGCTGGAGCAGAATGGGCAGGAGGAAGGAACGGGTCACTGGTGGGTCTGGGCCGGGCTCGGTCCCGCCTCAGCTCAGATCCAGACCCCCTGGCCCGGCTCAGTCTCCCCACCCCATCCAGCCACCCCATCCATCCATCCATCCATCCATCCATCCATCCAGCCAGCCAGCCAGCCAGCCATCCAGCCATCCAGCCAGCCAGCCACCCCATCCAGCCAGCCAGCCAGCCAGCCAGCCAGCCACCCCATCCATCCATCCATCCATCCATCCAGCCAGCCAGCCAGCCAGCCAGCCAGCCAGCCATCCAGCCACCCCATCCATCCATCCATCCATCCATCCATCCATCCATCCATCCAGCCAGCCAGCCAGCCAGCCAGCCATCCAGCCACCCCATCCATCCATCCATCCATCCATCCACCCATCCATCCATCCATCCAGCCACCCCATCCAGCCATCCATCCAGCCAGCCATCCAGCCACCCCATCCATCCATCCATCCATCCAGCCAGCCAGCCAGCCAGCCAGCCAAGCCCAGGCCATGCCTGCTCCCCGCCTGTAGCCCCTCCTCCCAGGCTCAAGGCCACACTCACTGGTTCAGCTCCAGGTCCAGAGTGAAGTTGGAGTTGAAGGCTGGGATGACGAAACTCACCTGGGCCAGGTGGACAGGCTGGAGGTGGGGAGAGGACAGAGGGAGGGTCAACCTGGGGAGGCCTGAAGGTGGGAACTGGGGAGTCAGGGGAACCCCAGGACAGGGAGTAGCCCTGGGGAAAGGAGGACCCAGTCCAGCCGCCGTGGGGACCGTTGATTGTGGGGGAAGATGCTTTGCACAAGACCCTGTTCCTTCCCTGGGGAGTGTGCACACCTGGGCACAGCCCACTCTGCCGTCTGGGTCAGGGCACGGTGTGCAGCGGAGGGGGCAGGTGCCAGCCCACCGTCTCTGGGGCCAGTCTCGGGAGCAGCCAGGATGGAGAGGGCAGCTTGGCCTGCTCACTGCCTCAGGCCAGGCCTTCCCTGGTGTTGGCAGGGCCGCCCCACCCTCAGGTGGACTAAAGAGAGGCCCTCAGAAGTATTACAGGTAAGGGGCAAACAGGAGGTGGGGTGCAGTGTGACCCTGGGAAGCTGCTGAAGTGGGTGCCTTCCTTCCTGCCTCCCTACCCCGGCCCAGCCTCAATTTAAGGAGGAGAACCTTGGACTCTGCAGACAGGGGTGGAGTGGGCTGGCGTTGGTCACGGGGCCCCTGGCAGCTGGGGTGATGGGCTGATGCCATCCTGTCAGGACGAAAGAACTTGGCTCCTGTACCCCAAGTCCATTGCCCAAAGCGGCTCATCTTTAATATTTCAATCCCATGGTTAATTTTTAAACACGGAAGTTTTCCTGATAAATTTTTCAGAGGGGCCTGTGCAGTGGGGCTGGGAGGCTCCAGGTTGTCATGGCAACGCACCAGACCTGAGCAAGCTACTGTGGGGGTTGGAGACTCCAGGCTTGAAGCTAGTGTGCCCAGAGGGAAAGCCACCCCGAGAGAAGAGGGGACAGGAGAGTTTGGGCTGAGGGGGAGTTGGCCTCCTCAGCTGCCAGATCCCCACCCCAAGCCTCAGGTCCTACAAAGATCGGGAGGTACGGGAGCGCTGGAGCCTTCTTCCTCCTCTGCCTGTTTAAGAAGACTGGAATCCAGGCCCCCAGATGAGGGTCCCACCACTGGGCCATAAAGAGGTGAGGAATTTGTGCCCTTCTTTTGGGAGGAGCAGGTTGCAGGACAGAAGGAAGCCCTGAGTCATGAAATCCCGTCGTCCCATGCTAGCTGGCTTCCTCGTCAACCACCTAGATTTCCACTGAGCAGTTATTATGTGCCCGGCACTGTTCCAAATGCTTTACAAGTCTTGTCATATTTGATCTTCCCAACAACCCAATGGGATAGATACCACTGGTTTCCCTATCTGACCGGGAAACAGCCACAGCGATGCTCACTGACTTGCCCAAGGTCACACATCTAGGAAGTGGTGGAGCCCGGCTGGCGGGGCTCCGTGGCTGAGCGTCGACCTCTGAACCAGGAGGTCACGGGTTGCTTCCTGGTCAGAGCACATGCCCAGGCTGCAGGCTCGATCCCCAGTGTGGGGCGTGCAGGAAGCAGCCGATCGATGATTCTCTCTCATCATTGGTGTTTCCAACTCTCTCTCCCTCTCCCTCTCCCTTCGTCCCTGAAATCAATAAAACTATATTTAAAAACAAACAACAACGAAACAAAGAAGTGGTAGAGCTGGGATTCAAGCCTAGCAAATCAGCTTCTAGGGCCATCTGACCCCAAAGGTGAGATCAGATGGAAATGGCCCGGGTCCATGAGAGACCCTGGGAGAGGGGGTGAGGTGGGGGGTCAAGGGCCAGAGCTTGGGTAGACAGCCCTCTGAGCCTCCAGGACACTGACTCACCCCATCCCAGGCTGACTGAGGCTCCAAGCTCCATTCTGAACCCCTAGAGCAGAGGTTCTCAACCTGTGGGTCGCGACCCCTTTGGGGGTCGAACGACCCTTTCACAGGGGTTGCCTAAGACCATCGGAAAACACATATACAATTACATATTGTTTTTGTGAGTAATCACTATGCTTTAATTATGTTCAATTTGTAACAATGAAAATACATCCTGCATATCAGATACTTACATTACGATTCATCACAGTAGCAACATTACAGTGATGAAGTAGCAACGAAAATAGTTTTATGGTTGGGGGTCACCACAACATGAGGAACTGTATTAAAGGGTCGCGGCATCAGGAAGGTTGAGAACCACTGCTCTAGAGCATCAGTCACACTTAATAGAAAGTCAAGGACAAGTAGTCACTGCTTCCCTCTCCTCCCCACTGGCCTGGACCACCTCTGCTCTGCCCAGCCCCCGGGGCGGGGGGCGGTGAGAGGAGGGAGACCAAATAACTCAGCGGGTTTGTCGTTTCCCACCCAAACAGGGGGTGGGGAGACAGGAGCTTATCCCTCTCAGAAGGATGAGGAGGACCAGGCAACCCCACCTCGGTCCCCAGGATCTCTGTACCCCAGGCACCTGGGAAGGGGGCTCCTGCTGGCACCAGAGTCCTCAGACTCCCCAGGCAAGCTTTAGGCCCATGCTCGATCAAAGCCAAACTGCTCCTGCCCGGCCTGCCTCCTGCCCCTGACCTGCCCCTGACCCCTCACATCATTCCCCGGGAGCCCCTCCTGTCCCCTGTCACCCTCCCTCCCCTGGGCCCAGCTCAGCACAGCTGGTGACCGGCTGGCGAGGCCTCGACCCTATGGCCTGCTCTTGCTTCTTGCTCCCTTGCTCCCCGGCCATCCGACTCTCACGTGCTGCGGCTCATTTGATCTCAACCTGCCCAGGATGTCTGGTGCTCATCTTACAAAAGCCAGGCAGAGACCCAAGGAAAGGCACTTGGAGGCGACTGGCCCAGGGCCACGCTGGGGAGGTACAGGGTCAAGTCTCACTCTCAGGCTGGAGTTGGTGCCACGGCAGCTGTGGCCACCTGGCTGGAGTGACATGCCCTCCCCAAGGCTTCCCTGTCGCCGGCTCATCCGGCCATCTGACACTTGCTTGCACCCGACCCGACACAGAGTGAAGAGGGAAGGAGGCAAAGATCCCGCTGAAATCCCAAAATACAAATGCGGAGGCCAGGCCTCCACCCCAGACCAACAAAGTCAGTCTTGGGAAGGGGGAGACAAAGGATCTTTAGGGTTCCCTAACGCCCTAGAAAATTTGAACACCCAGGCACTGTCCCCCAGAGAGTCACCCTGAATCCTCCTCCAGAACCGCCACCTCCTGCCTCGACCTCCTCTTCCTCACCCTCTACTGCACCCACCAGCCCACAGGCAGTGGTTCTCAACCTTGGCTGCACATTAGAATCACCTGGGAATCTTTTTTTTAAAATATATATTTTATTGATTTTTTTAGAGAGGAAGGGAGAGGGATAGAGAGTTAGAAACATCAATGAGAGAGAAACATCGATCAGCTGCCTCCTGCACACTCCCCACTGGGGATGTGCCCACAACCAAGGTACATGCCCCTGACTGAAATCGAACCTGGGACCCTTGAGTCCACAGGCCGATGCTCTATCCACTGAGCCAAACCGGTTAGGGCTGGGAATCTTTTTAAAATCCTGATTTCTGGGCCTCATCCTCCGGAAATTCTGTTTTTTTCTTTCTAATGTTGTGGCCTCACTCCATAACAAAGAAACAGAATTTCCGGAGGACAAGGCCCAGAAATCAGGATTTTAAGAAGATTCCCAGGTGATTCTAATGTGCAGCCAAGGTTGAGAACCACTGCCCCGCTGCTCCTGGCCGTTAGGCAGTTCACATCTCAATTCAGCTTTTCACCTGGGTGACCATTAGTCCCTGGAGCACAGGCTGCACCTGCCTTTTTCCCTGCCGGGGCTCATCCGAAGGCCTGAGTGAGCTGCTTAACCTCTCTGAGCCTCAGTTTCCCCGTCAGTGAAATAGGGTTGTCGTGAGGATTAAATGAAAGCTCCCTTTTAAAAATATATTTTTATTGATTTCAGAGAGGAAGGGAGAGGAAGTGAAACATCAATGATGAAAGAGAATCACTGATAGGCTGCCTCCTGCACACCCCCCACTGGGGATCGAGCCCGAAACCCAGGTGTGTGCCCTTGACGAGAATCGAACATGGGGCCCTTCAGCCTGCAGGCTGACACTCTATCCCAGGGGTGGGCAAACTTTTTGACTCGAGGGCCACAATGGGTTCTTAAACTGGACCGGAGGGCCGGAACAAAAGCATGGATGGAGTGTTTGTGTGAACTAATATAAATTCAAAGTAAACATCATTACATAAAAGGGTACGGTCTTTTTTTTTTTTAGTTTTATTCATTTCAAACGGGCCGGATCCGGCCCGCAGGCCGTAGTTTGCCCATGGCTGCTCTATCCACTGAGCCAAAGCGGCTAGGGCAGTGGTCGGCAAACTGCAGCTGGTGAGCCACATGCGGCTCTTTGGCCCCTTGAATGTGGCTCTTCCACAAAATACCACGTGCGGGCGCGCACGTACAGTGCGATTGAAACTTCGTGGCCCATGTGCAGAAGTCGGTATTTTGTGGAAGAGCCACACTCAAGGGGCCAAAGAGCCGCATGTGGCTCTCCAGCCGCAGTTTGCCGACCACGGGGCTAGGGCATAAAAGCCCTTTTTAATGTGTTATTATCACAAGGATTTGTAATAATAATAAGTGAAAAGAAGGAAGTGTAAATGGGCTTTGAGGAACTGGCTAAACTGCATGAGCTGGCTGGCGGCAGACGGGAGGAGCCAGAGAAGCAGGGGCCCATCTGGGAGAAATCCCCTCCCCCAGCTGCAACTCCCCCCAGCTCCCCAAGATGCAATGAGGCTCCACTTATGATCAGGCCGAGGGCGTCCCAGATAGAAGAATTGGATGAATTTCTGATAACCAGATCTGGCCTAAATTTTTGAGGACAGAGTCACTCCCTTACAGGGTCATTAGTCCCTCTGAAGACAGACTTTGGACAGCTGGGTCCCTCTAGGCAGCCAGCAGGGAGGTCAAGTCCACAGGCCTGAGTCTGGCCAGAGAGGCAAGACTCCTGTCCACATGGCTCCCCTGAACCCTGCCCAGAGCCTGAGAGGTAACCCCCAAATGCCCTGGCTCCTGTTTCTGACACCCAGCCCTCACGCCAGCACCTGGCCCCAACACTCAGGAGGGAGGCCAGGCCTCACAGATGTTGAGCATCTGCTCTTGCCGGATCCTAGGCAGGACACCTGTACACACCTCCTCTCTGATCTTCACAGCAGCCAGGCCAAAGTGGAGCTGACTATGATCCCCATTTTATGGATGGGGAAGGTGGGGTTCAGAAGGCAGCAGTGGCTTGCCCAGGCCATGCAGTCAGAAGTGGGGGGAGCTGGGACTCCCCGAGGCTGTCCTGCTCCAAAGCCACAGGGGCAGCCTTTCAGATGGGAGTTGTTTAGCCTCCTGCGTGAACGCTCCCTCTGCCCAACCTCACGGCAGTGCTCAGTTCACAGGCGTTGCCGGAGGGCTTCCAGGGTGGCATTTCCCGTAAATGCTGGTCTGCACCGTTCTCAGGGGAGCTCAGCCCAGTGACTGAGGTCCCCGCCCCCAGCTGGCTCAGTTGAGGGTCTGCCTCCTGGGCCTGGGACCCAAACAGCCCTGTTCTCTTGCCCACACCCTGCCCTCTCCTTGGTTCGGAAGGAGCTGGGTTTCCCAGGGGCAAGCACACCCCACAGAGCAGTTTAGTGTGGATTACAAGGGTCCCCCTCAGAACGCAGCAGCCTCATGGGCCCACTGATTTCATTCAGCCCACTTGCCGGGCACCCCGTGCTCCGAACAACCAGCCCACTGGTCCACTGTGGCCCTGCTTGTCCTCCTGCCTCACCCCCCAGCTGCAGGCTCCCTGTGACCACAGGTTTCTGCACTTCCAGAACCCTACACCTCTGGACAGAAGTGAGGTGCTGAGAGCAGTTGCAGAGAGGAAAATGGGTCCCCTGTGCCTCTCTTCCCTAGACCCCTGAGCGAGAAGCAGACAGTGCGCTGGTTAAGAGTGCTGCTCTGCAGCCCAGCCGGTGTGGCTTAGAGTTTGAGCCTCAGTGGTCCCAGATCCCTTGCTTCTGACTGCATAGCCTGGGCAAGCCAGGAACCAGGAGGTCACGGTTCAATTCCCGGTCGGGGCACATGCCTGGGTTGTGGGCTCAGTCCCCAGTGAGGGGAGTGCAGGAGGCAGTCAATCGATGATTCTCTTTCATCATTGATGTTTCTCTCTCTCCCTCTCCTTTCCTCCCTGAAATCAATAAAAAATATATATTTTTAAAAAAGAGTGCTTCTCTGGGTATCAATCTTGACTCTGCTACTTCAGTGCTGTGTGACCTGGGGTAGTTACTTCACTTCTCTGTGCCGGTTTCCCTGTCTGTGAAACGGGAATAATAATAGCAACATCTCCTGGAGTTGTGATGATGAAATAAATTAATAAACGTAGCCCTGGCCGGTGTGGCTCAGCTGGTTGAGCATTGCCCCATGCACCCAAAGCTCACTGGGTTTGATTCCTGGTCAGGAAACATGCCCAGGTTGGGGGTTTGGTCCCCTGTCGGGTTGGGGTCCATAAGGGAGGCAACCCATTGATGTTTCTCTCTCTCCCTCTCCTTCTCCTTTCCTCTTTCTCTAAAAATATCAATAAAAATATTTTTAAAAATTAATTTTAAAAAATTAATACACATAGAAGAGTGCCTGCCCCAGTAAGTTCCCAGTACGTTGTAACTTCTCAAGCTTCTAATTCCTGCCTGGTCACCTCCTCCCAGTCCCCCCTCACCAAAGCCAGGAGTCCTCGCACACCGAACCCTTTCCTGTCACCAATTCCTGGTAGTGGTGGGCTGAGACTATCATCATCGCCGTCCTGATTTTACCATGGGCTCAGAAAGGTGCCACGACCAGCCCAAGGCCAGAGCAGGCAGCACTCCAGGACCCACCACGCTGGCCCTGCCAGCCAGCATGTGCCTCCACACTCACCACATGACCCACAGCAGATGGAGATCTTGCTGCTGACCCGTCCCCTTGGTTGGCCTGAGGTCCTGAACCAGTGCAATAACTTCGGACAAAGCCCAACGGCGCCAGGGTGGGGCATTCCTGCTGGGACACTTGGGCTCAAGGTTGCACTGTCTCCACCATCAGCCCCGAGGTTGAGGCCACAAGTGCTCCAGGGAGAGACGCCAGGTGGGAGATAGAGGTTTGCAAGGACTCCTTCTGGTCGGGGGGAAGTATCCTGGACGCGTCCTTTGGTCTCCCTTGGCCTTCCACCTTGCATTGGGTGGGGCTGGGACCTGCTCTCAGTGCCAAAATCCAGAGTCCCTGGGGGCCTGGGCATAGCGGGTCTTGAGAAAAGTACTCCACTGCTTGAGATCTGATTGACTTTGTTTCTTTTGTTTGTTTTTCTAGGATCTGATTGACTTTGGGCAAGTTATTTAACTTCTCTGAGCCACAGTTTGCTCATCTGCAAAATGGGCAGACAAAAGTTACCTGCCTTACGGACTGGTGAGAATTCCACCTGAGGGAAACTGAGGAACAGAGAAGGCCAGCCTATGAGTGAGTTCCCTGGGGGGGCTGCAGTGGGGTAAGTGTGAAGGCTGAATCCCAGAGAGCCTCTCCCCCCTGGAGGTGGCCACTGCCTCCCAGATCCACAGAACCCTCCACCCCCACCTCCTCGGACAACCCCGTGGGCAGATTCAGGCTTGGTCCCTCATACACACATCACACATGTCACCCGCTCACCAGCAAAGTGACACCCAAAGAGACTCTCCCCCTCTGCATACCCAGTCCATTCAATCCAACTGGGCCATACAGCTCTCCCCGCACTCACAGGCACCACCATCCCCCAGAGCAGCCCCCTTTCTGGTGGACTGTGCTGACGGAGCACCCACTCTTCCTCCCTATTTAGTCCTATGCTTTCTCTCCCTTTGTCCTCGGCCCCACCTGCAGCATCACCCTATGGTCCTATCTGGACATCCCCCAAAGCACCAGACAGGAGTCCTGGCACTCAGGCCCAGCAGTCACCTCCTGGCCAACACAGCCTGGGGTGTACAGTTCACAGGTGGGGGTACACCAGGGAAGAGAGTCAGACTAATGGCCACACCCAGCCAGGACACCCCATCCCTGGCCTTGGGACCATCCCTACTGCCATCTACCACCTCCAGGGAGTCTGGGTAGGTGCTGAAGGCAGCCTCCACCCCTTTCCCTCCCACCCCCCACCTTCCACTCCCCCATTGTCGCCCCCCACCCCCACCCCACCCAGGCCTGCCGGCTCAGGACCATTAACTCCCCTCCCCCCACGCCGCACTGCCCTGAGTGATGGTCCATCTATTATGCATGCTGCCTTCCTGCTCCATTCCATTTCCCGAGTGCCGCCCCTGCACCCCCACAGCCCCTCCACCCCCCCTAAGGGCTTTTAACCAAGTACATTAGGCAGGGCCAGATGCCAGTCTGACAGATGTCCACAGTTAGCCTCCGTTTCCCTCCGTCCTCCCTCTGCCCGGCCCAGTTACCTCCCACCACAGTTACCTCCCACCACTCAAGACTTCAGTTGCCCAAACGTCCCAGCCTCCTCAGAGCCTCTCCTCTATTTCTGCCAGCCCTTCACCAGCCCATCCCGCCCTCCGCCCGCCCCCGGTGGCCTGGCTAACTTTCAGCTTTGAGCTCCTGGAGAGCTGAGGCAAGGCGTGCTGAATGAATATTCCATCTGGGTGATTATTATTCACATGATATTAATTAATTATTAATTGCAATTAATCTCCTTCATTCCTAACCTTCCTCTGGGAGGCAGGAGGGGCCTGGCAACTGAAAGGGACAGGGGGTGGTGGCATTTGTGGGTGTGCTTGTTGGGGCCTGGAACCTTTTTCCAAGGCCCCACCCTCAGCGAGGGCAGGAAGGAGAACAACATGCCTATCAGCGCAAGGGGGAAACTGAGGCAGGAGCGAGCACTAAGCTGTTCTGAAAAATCCCACTACCAGTGGCTGTGGCAAGAACCCAGGAACCCTGGTCCCAGGCTCTTCGCTGCTTCTCCCTGCCCTTCCTGCCCTCCCCAAGGCCCGTTTGGAATAGAACCACTTGCTTTGGCAGGAGAGGAGTGGGGGCTGGCAGAAGGCTGACCAAGACTGGACTGAGCCCTGGCATTTCAGTCCGCTGAGGGCAGGGGATCCCCATGATGATGGAGGGGCCTGGAGCGGGGCAGGTGGGCGCTCCCACTAGTGGGCTCCACGGTGTCCATGGTACAAAGGGAAGCATCAGGAGCCAGCAGCCTGGGAGGCGCCCAACCCTTGGCTGCCCCTGGCCTCCCTTGGGCTCTGAGGCCTGCTCCAGCCCCCTGGCCTCCCCGCTCAGCCCCACTCACGGGGCCACCGGGTGCCTCCTGGCGGACCCTGGTGTCCAACTGCTGCTTCCGGACTTCTCCCCCGGAGCTCTCCCCCACCAGGCGGCTGGGCTCTGTGACCTCAGGCACTTCTGGGCCCCACAACTGAGGTGCGACCCTCCAACGCAGAACTCCAGCAGGACCCCAGGTCCCAAGACCTGGGGAGACAAGGCCATAGGTGTAGGCAGATGCCCACCGTGGGGCGGGAGACCTGGGAATGGGTTGGGCACCCCCACCCTCCACGCGGGCATTGCCCTGGGCGGCCTGGGGGACCAGACATGCTGCCCTGCAGAGGGAGAGTCCGAGGGATGGGGAGGGGGCCGGAGCTTCACTCCTGCCAATTGTCACGACTGCCCCCCGCCCCCCCCCCCCCAGCCCGCCGAGACCTACAGAACCCGCCGGCCAAAGGCAGGGGGATGGCCGCGGGGGGCGGGCCAGATGGGGACAGGTGGGTGTCCGCGCCTCCCTCCTCCCCCGCCCCCGCCCCCACCCTCCCGCGCTCCGGACCGGCTGTCACCCCGGCACTGCGGGGAAATGTGGCTGCAGCGCCAACCGCCGCAAAACCCGGGGGGGGCAGGGAGGGCGCGGGCCGCGGCGGGGGTCGCTCACCGGGCGTGGGCAGCAGCGGCAGCAGCAGCAGCGCCGCGATCGCCCAGCGCCGCAGCCGCCTCATGGCTCGTTCATATCCTCCGGGTCCGGGGGCTGCGGCTGAGCGGCTCGGCGCGGGCGGAGGCGGGGCGCGGGCGGGGGCGCGGGCTGCGGAGCCGCGGGCGGGGGCGCCGGCCGGCCGGGGGGCGAGGCTGGCGGCGGCGGCGGGGAGGGCGCCCGGCTCAGGCTCCGGCCGCGGCCATCCCGGCGGGGCGGCGGGCCGGGTTAAGAGCCGAGCGGCGAGCACGTGAGCGGAGGGCCCGCCCCCGCCCCCCGGCCCCCCCCAGCCCCGCAGGGCCCGGGCCACCGCGACGGGAGGACAAAAGAGGCGCCGCCCCGGGGCCGGCCTCCCCGCCCCGCCCTCCCCCGGCAGGTGCAGGGCCGGGCGCACCGTTTCCCATCTCGCGACCCCCTCCTCGGCGATCGGTCCCGGAGCTCCGAGGACCCGCAGGTTTTAGGGCGAAGGCGGCAGGGTCCACAGGAAGCCCCGGGCTCTGACCTGGGGACCCCCCGCCTGGGGACCTGGGAGATGGAGATGCGGGGGCGTGGCTGTCCCCGGCCCAGGTTCGCGGAGCAGGTCCCTGTGGAGTCCTCCCCACCTTCGGTCCAGATCCCTTCCCATCCACAGGCGCCTTTTCCCGCTCAAAGAGGACCCTGCCTCCAGGAGGGCTTCAGGATTTGCTGTCCCTGAGCCACCCGGACAGATGGCCCCCGAGTCCTTCACACGGGGCATTGCAATCCTTCCCCCCAAACATCCTATTAACTGGCCAGGTCACTCACATGCTGCTGTCATGCCCCATTTCTGCCCCTCCCTGTCAGCCCAGATCTTGGAGGAGCAGAAATACCTGTGGAGCCCCCAGCTTTCCTTCTCTAGCCAGACCAGGTTGCCTTGCCTGCCAACCACCTGCCCTACCAACCTACCACTGGAACTGCCCTGCACCCCCAGCCCAGCTACTGGGGCCCTGGGCAACATGGGTCCCTGACTGGGGGCTGGGATCTCTGACCACTGCTAGGGATCCCAGGAGCCAGAGACTGAGATGAAGTAGAGGTGGTGGAAGTGGGTACCCCCGGTGAGGACCCCCTCTGACCTTGTGCCCAAAGCCAGAGACTCCTTGAACCCACCCTGGGAGACCACAGGTCACTGAGGGATAGGAGTGGAGGCAGGGAACCGTTCCTGGGTCCTCTGCTTTCCTGAGGACCCAGGGCCTCCACCAGGAATGGGGGAGCTGCCTGCGGCTGGTGACAGCCCCCCTCATTCTATTTTAGGCTCAGGAGAGGTGAGAAGGCGATTTCCCGGGAGGCACTGACATCAATGCTGGGAACGGTGACTCTCCCCTTCCAACCACCTGCCACTCCAGACGCAGAAGCTCAGGAAGGCTGAGGCCATTGTTCCTTCACGCTGGGAACCTCTTAGGGGTGAGGGGGCTCTCGGAGATGAGGACCTACTATGCGACATTCCCTGACAATTACCCAGGAGGGAGAGACTGGGTTCCTCATTTTACAGATGGGGAAACGGAGGCTCCAAGGGGCTGCTGGAGCTTCCCAACGTCATACAACTAGCTGGTCAGAGGTGCATTCCATACCCAGGGCCCCACTCCTCTCTGGCCCACTCTGGCCCCACCTCTGCCTTTTATCTTGGATCTAGAGGAGACTGGTCCCTCTATTCCCCCTCCTCCTCCCCACACACAGCACCAGGTGCATCTGTCCTGCCCCACCTGTGCCATGGTCCAGGGCCAAGTCAGTAAGCCCTGAGCCGATGTGCTCCCAAAAGGATAGGTGGGTTTGTCATTTCACAATGGAGGGCCCTGGGCGTGGGGGAGTGTGGATCCCCTCCTTCAACATGCCCAGGACCACACAGCAAGCCCAATCTGTGGCCTGGGCCTCCAAGACTGAGGCACATCCCTACCATGTGTGTCCCGGGTTCCTTGTTGGGGAGATCTTCCTGAACCCCCAGAGTGACTTCTGGGCCAGCTCCAGTGGAGGCTCAATCTTATGGTCCTTGGCCCCCGAGAGTTCCTCATCTTCCTGAGTTCCCAGCTCTAAGCAGGCATCTTGGCCCTCATCTGACCACATCCCATTCCTCAGCCAGAGGCCCCCCATCTTGTCTTGCATGTCAGCTCTGCCACAAACGCATGCCTTTCCCAAGTTGGAAGCCGTTTCAATTCCCTCACGCACCAAACCAGGGTCCTGGGGGGAATCCCAACCTAACCCCACCGCGATGGCGGGCTCCTTTGGCCCCTGTGCCCACTGCCTGTTTCTCCCAGGAGAAGGGAGAAAGTAGAGGTTGGTGGTCACTGTTTCTGTCCGATGTCACCCTCGGGGTCACTCCTGCTGAGGAAGCCGTTAGGCTCTGGTCCCGACCTCCCTTAGGCCCCACTACCAGTTCTGGGCCTCCTTCCCCTAGTTCTCCCCACCCTGTAACCGATTCTTCCCTCCAGTGTTTCTGCACAGGGGCCACGCTGGGTGGATGTGGAGCCAAGACCTAGCTAGTCTAGCAGCTGCAGGTAAGGGGTGGGGGTGGGGGTGGGGTGGATTCAGCTGCCTCAGTCCTGGGGCAGAGTGATGGGCAGTGATTCCTGCCCACGGAGGACGTTCAGGCCCTGAGCCCAGTCCGTGGGGCCTATAGCAGAGACCACACCAGGCAAGGGGCTGGGATTTCATCCTGGCTAATGGCTGTGTGACCTTGAGCAAGTCTCCAACCTCTTCGAGTCTCAGTTTCATCTGTGAAAAGGGGGGTAGAAAAGCCCTCCTTCACAGTGAACTGATGAGCCTCAGAGAGGCTGGTGCACAGAAGGGGCTCACACCATCCATGTTGACCTTAAGGTGCCAAGGAGAAAGCCCAGGACCCAGGGGACTGCTTTATGGCTTGGGGGCCTAGGGGCCCTCTCTACCCAGAGCATGGAGAGACTGTGCCTGGTGACGTGATACTGGTGGATGGAGAGCAGAAGTGCCCACAGTATTGGGACAGGGGCTTCATTGTTTTCACCCAGATCCCAGCGCAGTGTCTGCCCTTTCCACCAGTGGAAGACCACTCCTGTGATTGAATATTCCTCCGGGGAGCCTCATGCTCCCCCGTTTTCTGACCGGCCCCCTTCTTTAGTCTCTGCAGCTCTTGCCTCAGCAAGTTGGAGGCATCCAGGTGCCAAAATCCTGGGGGGACACCCATCCTTTGAGAGCTTCATAGTGGCACAAAGGTAGTCATGCCCCTGAGGGCCCTGCATGCTATGGGAGGGTGTGCAGGTTTCCTCGCCCACATCAGGGATCCTCCGAGAGTTCTGGGAAACCACCCCAGAAAGTGGGGACCCAGGGAGGGGGTGACTCACAGAGCCCTAAGCAGCTTCATCCACAGGATTACCCTGGAGATGAGGATGCGAGTCAGAGAACCATCCAAGGTGGGAGATTAGTGAAAATGAACCTATTGAAATGTCTAGGAGGGAGCTCACAGGTGTGTGTGTGTGTGTGTGTGTGTGTGTGTGCGCGCGCACGTGCGTGCACACGCGTGTAGGTGGTGGTAATGCTAGTTTACTGAGTGTTCACAGTGTGCCACCCTCTGGCCCAGTACCTCCAACGGTCAAAAAGTGGCAGGATCCAAATTTGAACTCAGAACTCGGCCTGAAGGCTTACACTACAGGATTCATAGAGAATATGGAATATAAACTTGAAGAGAGGGGCATTCCAGGTCAGAGACCAAGAGCAAAAGACTCACTATGGTTTGAGACACAAGCGGATCAGCCTGCCTGGATGGGGTCCGGGCGGAGGGGGAGGGGCCATGGCAGAGAACACCAGGAAGCTGGGTGGGTGTGAGGAGAGGACGGTCAGCAGGGAGTGAATAGGGGGACGTGGGACTGGTTGGAGTGGCCGGCCGAGGGGGCAGGTGTTAGCGAATGCCAGGCAAGACAGGACAGCGGGAAGGGGAGCCAGTCTTGGACCAGGAATGAGTTACTAGGTAAGTGGGTCTGTGTTGGCACCAGGATGGGAGGGGTGTGAGGGATTGGAAGGAAGGACCCTTGAAATCATGTCCTCCAAGCCCCTTTCTTAGATAAGGAAACAGGCTCATAGTGAAGGGATTTGCCCAGTGAGTGCGAGTTGGGGTGTTGGCAACACCTGCCTTCCCATCCAGCCCAGGGGAAGATTAGAATTCAGGAGGTCAAGGCCAGAGCTACCAATTCAGGTCATAACTTGAAGTGAAAGAGCCCGTGTCTAGGCAAGAACTAGGATCCCAGACCCTCTTCTGGGGAAGCAGTGAGGCTGGAGGGCTCATTAGAGCGGAGTGACTCGGGGCAGACACCGCAGGCCTATGCTGACTGGGTGCACTTAGTAAAGAGGGGGAGGCTGGAGAGAAAGGCGACCAGGCTAAGCTGGGGCTGCTAGGAATAGGGAAGCCAGGGTTCAAGCAAATGGGAAAGGAGAAAAGAAACCTGGCTTTGGTAATTAGCAGGTGATCCAGTGACCTTGGAATGGACAATGCCAGCGGTGCTCCCATGATGGAGGGCTGGAGGGGGAGGGAGGTGCAGAGGCGGCGGCTGTGGCTATAGACCAAGGAAGTAGCCAGAGAACAGGAGGGAGCATTCCTCGAGCTACTGGATCAATGCGAGTGTTTTCCAGGCTGGAGCTTTCAGGGGGAGGGAAGGAGAGCTGGGGAATCTGGGGAGGAAACGGACGGACGAGGCCAGCAGGGGTGGGGTGAACACAGGCTTGGCCTGACTTGGGGGTGGGGGCGAGGGACACTGCTTCCTTTGAGTCAGAAGTTGAAGAGGGACTGAGTGGGATGAGGCAGAGGCTGCTGAGTGTGAGCTAAGCTCACTGGTTGAGAGGGAGGGAGTAGGAGGCTTTAAGCCCCCATGTCAAGGAGCCACTGAGGGGCCCAGGATGTCAAGTGGCACCTTTCTGTCCTGGGTCCCCTCTACGTTTCTATCCTGGAGGCAGGAACAGAGACGGAGCTACGGTGAGATGGAGCCTTGGGGCTTGACCTGGTTGAGATGCGATATCCAAGGTCACAAGCGGTGAGACGGGAGGGGAAAGTCACACAGTTGGATGTGAGGTCCTGGGCAGATGGTGACAAGGGTGTCAGAACCTGGTGT